TCAGGGTATTCTGTGGGAGTTTTCTGGTTTTTTTTCTTGCCCATCTGGGTGGTTTTTTCTGTGATTTTCCTGCTTTTTTTTGTTGATTTTTCCTTGCCCTTCTTGTGGTTTTTTTTCTGGGTTTTTCTTGCCCATCTTGGAGGTTTTTCTGGGACTTTTTTTCTGTTTTTTTTTTTTCTTGTCCATCTTGGGGTTTTTTAGGTTTTTTTTTTCTGGGTTTGCGCACTTAGCCCGCTCCCCTGGCGACCAGCCGCTTTGGCCCGCCAAGCCACTCATGTGCTAAGTCGGCCATTGCGTCAAACGCCGTGCCGGCAGCAGGGCCTGCCGGGTGTTGTAGTCTCGTGCTGACAGCCACTGCTCTGTCCTCCGCCCCCGGGAGCTGCAGTCCCGCCAGGGCATCAAATGGGTCCTTTGCTCCTGGGTGGGGAAGGACCTGAGGCAGCATCGCTCCTCCCGAATGCCCTTTCCCTTTCCTTTTCCCTTTCCTTTCCTCCTTTCCTTCTTTATTTTCTTTTTTTCCTTTTATTTCTTTCTTTCCCAGTTTTTCTAACTTGGTTTCCTTTCTAGCTTTAGAATAAAAAAGCAGCAGTAGAAACTTTCAGCCTCTCTGGCAGTAAAAAAAACCCAAAACCAAAATGATTTAAAGAAAACTCTTTACTCCCTGGGAGCCTGAAATTTTCTACATCTGTACACGACATATAGCTAGATACTTTATATTTTATACTTTATTTATACACTGTCTCCTGCCATCTGCTCAGGCGCACTGCAAGTACAGTGCCATCTGCACCGACAAACCGCAGGCAGAGTGCCGCCTAATGATGTCACCGCGTCTACATGGCGCTAAACGCCTCATAAAGACCCCAAGGCGTAGCCGTCTTGCCAGCTGCCTGATAAAAATGCCGACACCAACCCCGCCCCCTAGAAACAATTTCATGCGACGCCGCCCGCTATGGGCAAACCGGGATGCCATCACCGCCACCGGCGAGGCACGGAAGGCACACAAAAAGCACCACAAACCGAAAAAACCCGGCTTGGAAAGCCGTCATCTTTGCTTGCCATCACGTGACTGGGACGGCAGTCCGCGACGGCCACGGCCCTGCCATGTTGTATGGCACCCCGTGATGGTCAGGGCGCCGCCATCTTGTACGGCACAACTTTATGACAGTCGCGCTTTATGGCACTTCCTTTTATGGAACTTTTACGGCACTTCACTGTACAGCACTTTACAGGTTTTTATTTTTTCATTTATTTTTAATTAATTTTATGTTTTAAATTTTAACTTATTTTTAATTTCATTTTTATTTTCAATTTTTCTATTTTTACAGCTTTTTATTTTATTTTATTTGGTGCTGCCCAGACCAGCTCAAGCCGGTGATTGTGGCGGTGTTTGAGGGTCCCCAGGATGAGGGAAGAGATGAGAATCTTGACTCCACCTTTCAGAAGGCTGATTTATTATTTTCTGATCTCTATTATATTAAAAGAAAATGAGATCTTAGAACTATACTAAAAGCTTGGTGGTGGGGGGGAGAGAGGGATGGGGCAGGGTGGGGTGGGGAGGGGTGAAGGGCAGAGAGATGGATGGGGCAGGAGCAGGCTGGAAGTTCGAGTAGGGGTGGGGGGCTGAGAAGTGGACATGACAGAAGACGGCTAAGGGGAGGAGGTAAGGGTTAGGGGGGGCAACTCCATATCTCCCAGACCAAAGCTACAGCAAAGGAAAACTCGGGTTGCCCAGGCAGCGCCAAACGCCTCCTGCAAACTGACAACAGGAACTGGCATTCAGTTTTTAAACAGATTCTCAGTGTACATATCAGAAGTTTTCCTTCTGCTTTATTGTTGTACAATATCCGGAATGCGCTGGCCTCATCATGTCATCCCATGCCAAGCACAGAAAAACTGGATTAATGGGGCTGAATCCTGGCAGGTAGCACTGAAACCGGTAGGAATTGGTGTGGGACATCAAGCACTAAAGCCATACAAGAGCTGCAGCTGGTACTAAATTGTTTACAGCTATTTTCTATAGAAGGAAAAGTTGTGAGATATAAAAGGAGATGACAATTTTACATAGCAAAATGTACCAATAAACCTGCAGGACAAGTACTTTATCACGGTACTGTTTTGACAGGACTTAATGGTTTTTATACCGTGTTTGCTGAACATTTGGTTTTTGAACGGGGGATCAAGGACTTCCAATGAGCAATTGCATTCATTTTCCAGAAGAGTAGCATGTTTGTGAGTAAACCTGCGTGACACCCCTGAAAGCCAAGCAAGAACCTGGTTTAGACAGTGCAAAATCAACAGGCCATGAACTGGAATTTGTTTTTAATGTCTATATAAAAAATAATGAGCGATTTACAGGTCTCTCTCTAGTCAGAACCTCAGAAGTCTGTATAAAGGTGCTGTACAATATATAAACATTTACACCCAGTACATCCATACATTGCGTAGCATTCCAAGGCCACATGGCTAAGTCTGATACAGGAAGTACAGATACAAGGTCTATGGAAGGAGAAACCACACACAGGTAAGACATTATCAGGTCACATGAACATTTAGAAAAATAGAGGAGCTGATGGCAGGGAAATAATTTCAGTGGGACTAATTAATCTGGAATTAAAGGACTGGATTTTTCACTATACTCAGTGGTCAGGCCAAGTGCACACAGCTCAACATCAACCAACCTCTGGGGAAGAACACAGGGCAATATCTACAGAGGCTACTTCAGAGTATTAAATATTTCACAGTCATATTCCACCCAGGGAGTATTTGTACGTGTCATGCTACATAGCAACCCTGCTGTTGAGCAGGTGAGCACAGTTCAGAGCTGCTTTAAAGCCTTTTGAATTCCCAAAGTCTTTGTTTAAAAGCTGTTTGAGCACTCAGCTGTACTCATGAAAAATTTCACTCAGAACTGCCTCACTGTGCTTTGTTAGCCTTCAAAAACATTTAATGTTTCAAAGCCAAAATGAGATATTCACTTGCAAAGAGCAAATCATGTTTGTATTTTAAGTAAAGCTCAATGATTTACTCTTCTTTCTCCAGCAAAGGGCCTTCTTTCACCAATTTTCTCCAGTCGTTAAAAATCTGAGATGACAGGAAATAATCACTAGAACTGCAAATAAAATAAACCCCTTCCATTTCTATTGTTCTTACAGCTACAAGACTGATGTGTCGGTAGGTTCTGGCGGTAACATCCCTCTTTAAAACATCTCTGCCAACCCAAACCATAGGTGGTGTGTCTCCTGTATCCTGTTTGTCACCAACGCTCCTTGATCACACATTCATAGTAAATAGGGGAGAGTTCTAAAATATACAGGCAAGACCTTCACTGAAAAAGCTGCTCTGTCCTAAGGTCGGTTCTTACCTCTATAGAGGAGAAAAAAACCCAATTCCTAACTAGCATTAAATAATTAAAGATGGGACTTCAGTATGAACTCCACACTGAGGCTGAGGGTGTCATGGTGCCACAAGTGAAACCAAAGGAATTGTGTTATTTAACAGAACCCAGAATTGTCTTTCTTCTCAAGGATGTTTGCAACCCAAATCCCTGTGAATCAAGGAACTAAAGTGATTCTGCTGTGTCAGAAAAAGCAAAATTACAAAATTGTGTCAAATACATATACCAGGGTTTTGTATTAGGTATAAAAATTCCAGGAAACATATGAACTGAGCAGCATCAGCAGCTCATTTGCTGTCCTGGAACTGATAGAACCAACTCACCTGTGTTCTCCCTGACCCAACAAGAACACGTGGGTTTTCCTGATGTAAACATGCAACCCGCTCTAGAGAAAACACCGAAACCTGCCTTGTCTCTGACTGGAACCCATGTGGGAAGGGTTAGGTTGACTGGATTCAGTAGATAGCTTGGCACAACAACAGGAAGTGAGCCAGGATCACATTGGCAATAGAGGCATTAAATAACTTTGTTCAGAGTTCACAATACTCGGGTAAGCTGCAGCAGTGCAACACTGGGAGCAGCAGACATGACCTGCAAAGGGACATGGGGACAGCAGCTCAGGAAGAGTTTCCACTGAAGCAATCTGAAAGTCCTTCATGGAGCTTAGATAATTTACGAACAAATCAAATACTTCCCCCCAACAACCAGTTTCTGAGGAAGGAAAAAAAAAAAAGAGACAACTGTGTGAGAAAAACCAATGCTTTAAATTACCCTTACTGGAAAATTATCAAAACATGTTTGTTCTCAAAAAAAACACCAGTGTCTCTCAGTCAGTCACACCCGTTTTCCAGGCACCCCTGCTGCTGGGGTGCCCCTACTGCCACTGGGGACCCTCCACGGCCCGGGAGTTATCAGTATTTTCCTTACTGGAGAATTCTTCTTGGGTTGGGAAGTTCCATCTTTGGTTTCATTAGGCAGCTCCATGTGTCTCTCTCCATGGCGTCTGTTCAGCATAAGAGCTTCTTGTGTTTCCACCCTCCTTTGTTTCTCCATGGAAAGCAGTGGGATATTGGAAAGGCTGGAGGTTTTGAATCTGCTGGAACTTGGGTCTCCAGAGCTGGACTTGGTTAATAAATCATCCTCAGAGGCATTTCTCCTGGAGTCCCTAAAGGGAAGGTTATTCCCACCAAACAATGGATAGTGTTGGTCTGCAGAACACCCTTCTGTCTTTCCTGGGGTCTTCTGCTTCATTTCTTTCCTGGTGACTTCTGGTTTACCATTCCCACCTTTCAACTGCTCAACAGAACAGGATGTTTGGATCCTTCCCACTGTTTCTGTGCTTCCTGGCTTGCCATGATGCCTTTGGGGACTTGCTGACCTTCCTCGATTTCCATGGGAAGACTCCTTTTTGTCACTATTCTTCATCCCTTTTCCTGTGGTTTTACTCTCACTCCTGGAACTGTCAGATTTACATGAGACATTGTTTTTCTCAGGATCCCCTTTCCCAGGGCTGTGGAATCCCATGTGAGGGTATCCTTCAGCAGCCTCTGACTTTGCTGGACTGGCAGATCTGCCCCTTCTGGTCCCTGCTTCTGAACTACGTTGAGTGATTCCAAACCCAGGACTCGAGGGACATTCCCATCTGTTCTTTGTTCTCTGGGGAGAAGACTGAGGCTTCCTCTCACACAGGTTTTCAGTTAAAGTGCTTATCTTGTCAGGCACAGTGAGTTCTGCTTGTTCCAGTTCCTCAGACAGCTGAACTCTGGTTGAAGCTTCTCCTGGTACTGCTAAATAACACATTTCAGATGGGAAAGCAGAATGGGAAGATGAAGATAATAATGGTGACTGTTCTTCATATATTACATTTGATGAAGCAGGATTGTAGCTATCCCAATCACCTGGAAGCAAATGGCAAGAGATTTGGTTAAACACACAAAAATTAACCATTGGCAAACTACTGAGTTTAATTCAAAAAACATGATGGAGCAGCATACTTTCAAAGCTTTATTTAGCCAGCCTTCTGTATTGTGCTGTTCTACAACAATCCTGAGGATGTGATTTTAGGAAAAAATATCTAGTACTCAGAATGCTAGATCCCTGCAGGACTGACACGGTCTTGAATCAAAACAATTTTCAAGCCTACAAAGCAAAATTTCAAATTAAAAAGTCCCTGACCTACACTATTTAATAAAAAACTAGAACTGTTATGCCTCAAGAAATCTGAAACAGTGAAAAGTTGGGGTTATTCATAGCTTTGCACTTTAAAAATAGGAAGAGATGAAACAAGACATGCAGATTTACCAAGTCTTTAAGGAAAAACCAAGAAAAGCACTGAAAGCCCTTAATGTTGCTCAGGTTTCACGTAGGGACACAGACTGGAAGGAGCCAAACCTGAAGGAGGAAGAGAAAAAGCCCAGAAGTACATACCAAAAAAAAATCACAGAGTACAGCAAGCAAGACTTCAATCAGAAATGTGGGATTAACAGCAAGGCAAGAGGCCATAAACCCTTCCCCACTCCACCATTTCCTTCACCTATCCCAGGCCCCACTCTAGACAGAGGGCTGGCCTGGACATGCTCCAGAGGTTCCCTTTTGTCTGATTCTGTTTCTACCTCAAGCTCAGGGAATTTCTGTGACTGGCCAGCAGTGATGTTCAGGACCCTTTTCTAGCTCTCGAGAGGAAAGCAATTGAGACGGTTCTGAGCAGATTTTACCCTTTGAGTGAATGCCAGTAAGTAATGCCAGTGACTGAACACACAAAGTATTTGGTAGCTCATACTGTGTGTTTGGGATTTTGAAAGGATAAGCTTGGCATTGGTCACTGTGACTGAAAAACTCCTTACCAGAAAAAGTGACCCTACAATTTAGGAAGTTTAGCCATCAGCACGTTGGTGTCAGCATCGGGGCTTACAAAGAATAAGGAAGTTATATGTTCTTTGCTTTAAAATGCTGCTGCTGCCACTGCCACAAGTCTCTGACACAAGTCTTGGGACTGCGTCAGACACAAAGCCACCAGTTCTGAACTCTGTGGGTCCTGCAAACATTTGCTCTGCTGTCCTTCCTGGGTTTTTAGGGTTGGTTTTTTTTTTGGCCTACAAAGCTGTGGTTTCCTTTTGTAGACACAGAAATCACCTTGAATCAAACTTTGGAGAGTAAAGTTAGCCCTTTCCTACTTCCTGAAGTTTTGACTTTGAAAAACAAAGCATTTCATAACTTAGAAGGCTAAAACCAGAAGTAAATACGTACAGAAACAAACTTTTAACAATACTGTAGCATGGAGAATTTTCATTTAAATTAAAAGGCAATCAGGGTTAATCACCATATTTTTATAGAAAAATTTGATTAGTTTGGACAGAGCTGAGAAGCTAATTAGAAATATGAAATAATTTCAGATTGTGCAATACTCCTACATACTGTCATGTGTTAATTTTACCCCAAATATTCCTTGTATTTGAAAATAGATATTTTATTTTTCCATTTTTATATTTTAATTTTCAATTTAATTCAATAATAAATGCACAGCTATCACAAAGGCAACTGCCAACTACTGCAGTGAACAAGCAGCAGAATCTCCTCATCCCACTTTACTTCCCTGCCTTGCACCCTCAAAACCAAAAAGCCCTTGAGACAACATACTGTGATCTGGTATCAGTCCAGTCCCTGGTCTCAGCAGCAGCAAAACTTTATTTCCTCCAGCCTGAATCAGCTCAATGGCTCGTGTGTGAGTGATTCCTTGGGTAGGCTCTCCATTAATTTCCACAATTTGGTCACCAACCTGAGGAAACAAGGGCAGCAGATTAGTTTTTGGGAATCTCTGACACTGTGAACTGGTTTCTAATTTAGAAAGAAAAAGTAACAGAGGCAGACACTTCTGTTTTCCTTCTCGTGCTAAAATCCAGTGGGCGTTAGTGACACCATTCCATGGATTACAAGCAGAATGTCATCCTAAGGTCTGGGGGTTCAGAGGTGCACAGAGGTTGTCTGTTCAGGAAAGATTTCCAGAGATCTTAACTACATCTTCTATTTATTTACAAGTGATGAGGCAGATACAGGATGTGCTTGAATACATTTTCATTGATCCTGGATCATGCTGTGGAGGTAGCACATGCATCAACCACATCACATCTGCCTGAGGTCACCTTATGCAGGAGAGGACACAGCACCTTCTCTATACCCACTGCCAAGCTGAACACCACGCAAACGGATTTGACGTAGGGAAAGGAATTGTTATTTTCGGTTGATCACATCAGTGGTGAGGTCTCAGAGCCAGTAAACAATTCTCACAGGTACCAGGCAGGTAATTTCAGCCAGCGCTAATTTCCCTGGCTGCTGGAAAGGGGCTGGAAGCTGCTAGAAAGGGGCTGGAATAGCATACCCCAAAAATAGTTCTCTATTAGGCAAAACTAAGAAGGGAAATGGGGGGAAAAAAGGGAGCGAGAGCCTATCTGGCACTGCACACAGCAGCCAACAGATGTCAGTGGTGTGTAACATTAGCAGCTTAAAGAGGCTTCCTGGCCTTTTTTGAAGTCACTATGCAAAAGGAGGTCACTGCCGGCTCTTCATGGACAGGCTGGGTCTGAGACACACCGGGACAGTTCAGCTGGATGAGAAGTTCCTCCTCACACTGTTGAAGTACAACCAGAAAGAGACACCACATCCAGATGACAAGAAATTAAAGATGTGAATAACCTCAGGCTGGGCGAGCTCAGCCCATTCGTGCTCTGGGCTGGGCTGGGAACTTGGCACATGCCAGCACTGGGAGGAGCTTAGCATTGAGGATGGGAAGATCAAAGATGTGGCTCGGCACAAGACACCCAGACAATCCCATCCTGTGCCTGAAAGCATTGCCCAAGCACTCTTTGAACTCTGGCAGCCTTGGGGTTGTGACCATTCCCTGGGTAGCCTGTTCCAATGCCAGACCACTCTCAGAGGGAAGAACCTTTTCCCAATATCTAACATAACCCTCCCCTGACACAGCTCCAGCCATTCCTCCAGGGCCTGACACTGGTCCTGCCTCTCAGGAGGAAGCTGCAGACCCCGGTGAGGTCTGACCTCTGGCTCTTCTTCTCTGGGCTGAACAATTTTTTTCATTGCTTTGCCCAAAAAGCAAAGCCCTGGAGCTCAATGTGGCATCACTTGAAGGAGGACAATGAGAAAAAATATGAGCACAGAATGCTAAACTTGTGCTGTGTCTCAAGCAAGTGGGGGAAAATACTAATTACTGTGAAGAACAGGATAAGAGAAGTTAGGAATACTAAGAATTCCACATCCGTTTAAGCCTCGCAGCAAGTATCTGTGCCAGCCCCATTCTGCAAACAGAGGACAAAGAGAGGCAGAGCCTCGTGCCAGCAACAGGGAAGCACAAGGACTGCAAGGGATGGCATCTCATGGGCACCTGGCTCACCTTGATGCTTCACTCTCTGAAAATCCAACCCTGGGCAGCAGCCACAGAGTCTCGCTTACCATTGTTCCTTCTGTTGTATCCATGTACTTTGCTTTTACTACAATATTTGAGAGTGAATTCCTTACACAAAGGCAAGAATTAACATAATATTTGGGGAAAAAATCAGGACTGTGTCTCCAGAAATGGCATAGAACAGCCACAGCACAATGTACACACAAACATTCCTCAAAACTTAACTGACTTGGACAGTGATTCTCCTCCCAGCTCTCTGGTGCACTGTGCAATCTCTTCTTGGGGCTCCTAAAATACCCGTGAATACCTGCTACTCACACTCAGGGAGGCTACTGTAACCCCAGCAAAGCAGACAATTCCTTTGGGACGGCCAGAGCTGTTCATGGTCGTCTCATCTGAAAGCCCATGGCCAGCTTTGCCCTTTTTCCAGGGACAGCTGGAAGAAAGGCAAAGGCTCAGATGCTGTTCTGGGACCCTGTGCTTGTGAAAATCCAAGTTTGTTGCCACTCTGGATAAATTAATGTATCAACTGCATCAACAAATTGATTAGAGAAGTGAAACCTACGTGGACTCTCCCATCCTTGACTGCCGGCCCATCCTCAGCCAGACGGAGGATGAATAAGCCCATGTTGTATTCCTTTCCTCCTCGGAGGCTGAATCCAAACCCTCGAGGGCCCCTTTCCAACTCCACTGGGAAACAGCCAGCATTCTGTGCATGAAGTCACAGGGGAAAAAAAAAAAAAGAGAGCGATGAGGACCTGTAGGCAGATTTAACCTTCTGTTTTTCTAGAAAAATATCACAACATTTCTGTATTTTGAGCACTTAAACAGCATTCATCCCAGCTCGGGGATGACTCAGGGTAATGGTTTTAATCCAAGTCCAAACATTCAGAACATCTTTCCTTCTAAGTCTGAGATAGGCACAAAATTCTTGAAGAAACTTTGCCAAAGGGTCTACAGTCACTCCATTACAAGCATTTTGCGTTTCTTTCACAGCTATAATGAGTGTTCAACTACCCATAGGAGATAATCACATTTGAAACATGAGCAAAAACATTCTGTGAGACACTTCAGTATGTATCCGACAGGGAAATGTTTTAACATTCTGCTTTTGAGAACTCTGTGGTAAAGCCACTAGAGCGCCTTGATGGATGAGTATTCCCTGTGTCTCCACACCCTCTAGATGGATTCTTGTACCTGGGAATGACGGCTGCCAACACCTGAAGCAGCATCCAACTGTGCCATGTGCTTGTGCTCAGGCCAGGACAGCCGGTAACTATTAGAAACTTCTTTTCCAGGTTCACCTTCTGTAGCTCCCCTACGGAAAGGTGAAAGGACGTGAATGTTGCCTTCACATTAATCCCTCTGGCCAAGCTTTTCCCACCATTCCCAGCCACTTTTTCCCAACCTGTCAGGGTTGATCGGTGCCAATCCCAGTGGTCGGTGCTGTGGAGCTGGGCTCTGCCTGGCTGAGTTTGTTCCTGATGGAGGACCACGTTGCTCTAGAATCCAAACAAAATCAACAGTCACAACTTCACAAATCTGCAGCCAGGACAATGGTCACCACCAGTGCTGGGGGCTACTGCTCCCAAGGAACTGCAGCCACAACACCTTGAACCAAGCTCATGTGGGCACAATGGAGAGAGGATTTTCCAAGCCAGGGACACAAGTACAGCTCATCAGTTCCATGGAATATTCTTAGGAATTCTAGTCTTTATTCTTTTACTCTGCTTTTCCTCTGGAAATACCAACACAATTGTACGGATCCTGACACGAACAGAAGGGTTTTAGCCTGTTAGCAACTTAATAAATGCCAGAGGGGATCAGGGCTGATTAGATCCATTAAATTGGTTCAGATATTCATTATCATAAGATTTTTTAAGAGATGAAGAACAATGTCCATTTGAGAAATACCCCTCTTTAAGGTAAGGGAATGAGGATCTGCAGGAGAAATGGGGATTTAGAGGTGAAGACCCCATCAAATAAAGGGAAATTGCCAACTCATTTAAGGCACAACAGTTTTCCATTGCCCAGCTCCAGGTAAGGAACTGGTCTCTTGGAAGAAGGAGTTTACTGGCAGGCAGTCAAGAGGAATGTTAAAGTCTTTTGCCTTCTCCCAAAAGCTAAGTGAAAAAAAAGGTTTTGATAAAACAATTTAAAATAACTTCCTATTATTTTTCCCTCCAGGGAAAATACTGTTAGTGTGCACTTTACATCCAGTGCATTTCTGGAAAAAGCCCCATGTTTCAGGATACAAAACTGACACTCTCACTTAAGAATGAAGAACCACAGCCTATGCAAAAACCTGCCTCTTAGCTGGAACCTGAATGGCAAGCAATGGCCCAAGATGGACTTCTGTGCTGAAATATAAACTATTAACTCCTTTTCCCTGAAAGGGTTAGAAAGCAATCAGTAATTCCCAGCACCAGAACTAGAGACGTTCCAGCCCCATTAGATGCAGCACATCACTGCATTTCTTAATTAAGAACAAACAAATTCCACTAAAATACAAAAAAGTGCTCAAGAATGTTAAGGGGAGAGAAATTTAAAGCATATTACACTGAATTCCTCAGGTATGAGAGACCTCCCGAGCCCTCCACACATCTGCTTGATGCTGTTCTCATGACATGCCTTAAAGAGGTTTTTCTCTAGAGACAAAATGTCAACTTTTACTCCTCAGATTTTTAATTTAGAAGCATGGGCAAGAAAAACGCCATCTGTTTGTACAAATCCTGCAGCCCTCTCTGCAGCCTCCTCTCGTGTGTTCCCAACTAATTCATGACAAAAGCTGACAGGCTCCTGCTTTTGTGAAAAATGTTAAAGAATTTCTTCTGGCGCATGAGGGGAATTCATTTAATCCCATGAAAAGCAAAGATCACAGGCCTGTGAAAGCCTAGGGCCAGGGAAGGGGACCAGGCAGAGGTTTTGTTGCCACTCTCAGAGGACAAAGCTAGGGAACAGCAAACTCTGTCAGGGTGTCTGCCTTGCGAGGCTCAACAGCTTCCAGCAAAAAGGGCATTTTGTGTTTTTGGAGCTGTATCCTGGATTTTCCTGGGTGTGAAGCAGCCTTGTGAGGCTCAGCTCTGTCCCTGAGTGTGTGAAGCCTCGACTCGCCCACATCCATGCTGGATTCCCCCACTACACAGGGCTCTACTGGGAGCTAAACTCTTATTTCTTCAGCTACATCAAGGGGAATTTTAAAGTGGAGATATATGCCCACTCCACTGAGACCAGTTCTGCTTCTTTCTCCTTCACTGTCACAAAATTCTTTACATCTCAAACACACCAACTCCAGCTCCTCTGAGCCACAGATTTTTTCTGACTGATCTTTTCTCTGGTTTTACCACCTGCTACTGAGGGGCTCTTTCCTCTCTTTGTTGAGTCTCCCCACGTTGTGTTTTTCTCTCTGTATTTTGGCTCCAAATCTGTAACTGAGGCAGTGGGAAAGGTTTTTACACAAAGTCCATGCAAGGTCATACACAAATAATGGGTAGAAATATGATATTCAGAAAATTTATTTTGAAAACAAGTGGAAGGTGTTCCTGTCCATGGCAGCCCCATGGGCTTTCAGGTCCTTCCAACCCAAATCAGTCTGTATTTGATGACTAAAAGCTGCAGAGAAAACAGATCTAATTCAACCAACTCAAACTTCGGTTGCTTTATAAACATCACCCATGGCAACTGCTTTGAAGTGTGTCCCTTCAAACTGGAATGAACCAGATTTGATAAAAATAAAAATCTTAATAGAAAAATAACAACTTATAGAGGTCTCTCTACTTCAAGCATTAACAAAAAGGAATATTAGGTCTTTGAAATCCTGCGTTACAGGCTGAGATGGCATGTTAAATATTTGCAATGAACGTGAAATTAGAGAATCATCTGCTGGCTTTATTCACAGCCTGGCTCTACCTAAGTCTTATTTCAAAGGTGAAGAAAGCCAACTTCCTGACAAAATAATGATATGGACTTAATTAAGCAGCATTCAAGAAAAATGCAGGGCAGGAAAACAGCTTTTCTCTCCAAATTACTGGATTCTATATATTTACATTTTTGTTTGGAAACAATATCACAGTGCATGCAGTGTTACATGGGAGCCGTCATTAAGCCACAGTCTCCGAAGATGGGACTTTGCAGTATCTAGGAGTAACTTTGCTGCTTAGGTGACCCAGCAGGTTTTGCAGGTGCAAGATTGGCAGGAAAACCCTGCCAAGGCTTTTTTCCTGTGTGGTGGGATGTGACCCTTTTCCAAAGGGGAGCTTTGGCAGACAGAACTGCAGCATGTTTCTACTGCAGGGATGCAGCATTAGGGAATTTGTGTGTTTTAACATGGGAGAAAGCAAAAACTCATGGTTTAAATGGAGATTTGGAAAGCAGGAGTCCCTGTGGCCTTAGAGCAGGGACAGAGCATCCTGGCAGCACTGGCCTCATTGGGAAGAGAGCTCTGGCAGGACCTGCACCAACAGGAGCCGGGCCCCTGAGCTGAGGAGAGATTTTCTCGCTAAGCATGATCCTGTGGCTGCTGCAGCCCCCTGAGGGGTCATTTCTCTTTGGCTGGAGAATACAAGGTCCGGACAGGATGTTTCTATGTTAGCGGCATTTTCTGTCTCTCACACATGAGAATTTCTCTCACTCTTCATTGCACTGTTATTAATTTTAGCCCCTTATTGGGTACAAGCACCTTATTGTGGCAGCTCCTCTCTCTATCCCACCTGCCTTTAGCTCTTCCAGAGCAAACACACAAGCTACCAACTTATTCAACTTCCAGGACTTGATGATCCCCATGGGTCCCACTCAACTCAGGATATTCTAAGATTTACTCCCCTAAATTTCCAAACATCTTCAAATGCTCCATTTAAGCCAGTAAACTTCAGCAGTGATAAATACCCAACTTTGATAGCGTGGTGGCACCTTCCTTACCTTCCTCAGCCACCACTGTGAGGGTCACCACGTTGCCTGCATCTTTGATGAGTTGCACAATGCTGTCATGGGAGAGCTCCACAATGGACTGGCTGTTTACCGCTGAGATTCTATCACCCACCTTCAGCTTCCCACACTGGTCAGCCGGGCTTCCCTCGATAACCCGCCCGATCTTGTGAGGAATCACTAAGAAACAAGAACAGGCACAGCAACACTGTAAGTATTCACAAAATTATGGAATATCCTGAGCGGGAAGGGATCCACAAGGATGAAAATCCAAATCCCGGCCCTGCACAGGGCAGCCTCAAGAATTCTACCACGTGCACATCAGATAAGCATCACATAGACCCAGAACTGCCAGTCACAGAACCACAAAATATGCTGAGTTGGAGGGACGCGCAAGGATCATCAACTCCTGGCACTGCAGAGGACATCCCAAAATCCAAACAAATCCCATCTTGTGCCTGGAGAGTGTTGTCCAAACACTGCTTTAGCTCTGGCAGCCTTGGGCCTGTAACTGCTTCCTTGAGGAGCCTGTTCAGTGCCTCACCACCCTCTGGGCAAAGAAGCTTTTCCTAATATTCAACCTAACTCTCCTCTGGCACAGCTCCAGCTGTTCTCTTGGTCCTGTCACTGGTCACCACAGAGCAAAGATCAGTGTTTGTCCCTCCTCTCCTGCTCCAAAGGGTGAAACTGCTTGTACAGGACACACCTGTACAATGGAGATGCCAACCACACAGCATGGCCTTGTCATGTACAGGGTGCTGTGCCTGAAGGAAAACATGGGAAGGAAATGGATCATATTTGCAAAGGGATGAGTGAGAATGTATGTCCCTGGAGTGCACCAGAACAGTTGGTTTTACCATATATAGTGTAGTTTTCCATTTCATGCATCGACCCTGACAGACAGTGTGGGCTCAGAGAGACTTATGGCCATCCCCTGTAACACAGACATCCAGATGCATGGGCAAGCTCTTCCTACTTGCAAACAAAAATTAACCCTTAACACACTTTAAAAATATATCAAACTTCTCCTGCTGGGGACGGATTCTCCTGCCGGCGACTGATTCAGTCAGGTGAGGACCTGAGCAGAGAGCCTGTGCAAGGCCAGCAAGGTGCTACATCAGATTTGCATAGACCTGACCGCTTTTCCTAGTCTCTGAGATGAATATGCACTTGTAATAATTGTCTCAGATTTCCTCCAGCTCTCCTGCCTTGGTTCCCTCAGTTCACCCCAGAGCGACACCACGCCCTGCACAGACTCCTCCAGAAACCAAAGCTCTGGGGCCAGAACAGACAGACTGGAGAACAGAAGAAATGTTCTGAGAAGTAGAAGGCAAAAAGTTCGATTTCAGTCCTTTTCCCAGAGACGAACGCAGAGGCAGAACTAGAGCCAACTATGCCTGAGCCGCGTCAATATCTCACAATTGCAATACCAGATCAGACTACTTGTTCATTTTGATGATCTTTCTAGACAAACACACTCAAAGACAGTAACAAGTTCATAGTTTTCCACCAAATACTGTACACTGTACTTCCTCAGATCTCCAGAATAAGAATTCTTACCTGATTATAGGTAATATAAAGCCACAGTTGAAACTATGCTTCCATTAAAATGCCAATGAATTAATGCAACATCACTAGAGCCTGACAAATATCTACATCCCAAATGCTGCCCTGGGACAAGTGCACACTCTTGTGTGAGCTATAAATTCCCTTTTCCGCATTTCTGTCACAGTTGGGTGAACAAGAGCGTAAGTATGAAGAAAGACATACCAACACTCAATTGGCTGGGCTGTGCCAGTGTGAGTGAAAGCTGACTATGAGGGAAACACCAGCACTGCACAGGAAGAGATATCCGTGGAGACGCCCCAGCGAGGTTAAGCAGAGGCAGAGCCACCAGGACATGGCACTTACCCCCAGGAGGAGGTTTGGTCTTGGAGGTGAGGATAACAAAGCCAAATCCTTCGTTCTCCTTTCGCTGCAGACGGACGTCGTACACCTCCGGGCATGGCTGGTTGGCAAAGTCGACACGGTTCAGCCGAGGAGAGCCGTTCTGTGTCAGGACAGGCTGCGGCTCCTCCTCCTCTGCCTGCTTTTCCCCTTGCAGGGAACAGACAAACAACAAATAAGGTACAAATCACACAAAGCAACTTCAGCACAACCCTGAAGCTCAGTTGTCAGTAACAGCATGAGGTGGCAACAGCAGTTACTAATCAGAGCAGGGGGCCCTTGTCAGCTGTAAATCCCACCCCAGCTTTGTCATTCATGGAGTCACAGACTAATCTTCTCTAAAGTGTTGATCTGGACACTGATCTAAAACTGTGGCATCTCAAGATCTTGCTCTGAAACAGCTCTAGTTTGAATACAGTTAATCTTCCTACACTCTAATACTAAAAGACTTGAGAATACAGCATATAGAAGGTGCCCCTGCCCACGGCAGGGTGTGGGAAGAAATGTGTTTTAAGGTCCCTTCCAACCCAAACCATTCTGGGATGTTGAGAAAACAGACTGCATTACCATGCAATTTTCATAGCACTAATGGCTGTTCTAACTACTACTTGCAAAAAGGTTTGAAGAAACCACCCCTGCATCATAACTTTCAGAGCCTTACCTGTGTGAGCAGTGCAAGCTAGCAAGCAACAGAGTCCAAGCCTCTTAAATTCTGCTTTTCTCCTTTTAAGAGTTATAGCTCACCTTCCTCAATCTCAGGCTGCTCAGCCCCAGTACAGTAATTAAGTTCCAGAGCAACTTCAGTGGATTTGATTACAAGCCCTAAGTGCACTTTCTAGGCAAGCAGACACCTACCACTGAAGAAGATCTTCCTCCGGACAGTGAGCAGCACCTGCCCGTTTCGTGCAGCACTGGTCATTAAATCCAGAACTTGCTTGTGTGACTTCCCTTTCACAGGGACTCCATCAATGCACATCAGCTCATCCGCTGCACGCAGCCTCCCGTCCTTTTCCGCTGCTCCCAATGGGATTATGGCTCCAATATAAATCTGTGAGCAGAGTCCAGGGGTTTGAAAAAGAACATGAGTTCATCAGAACACAGTGTTTGGAATCCACGTGAATCTGTGCAGAAGAGGTCTTTTGGGGAACATTTTTTTAAAGATTACCTCACTGTCCAGCTCTAGCAGAAATGCAGCCAGCAAGTGTACTCTGCACAAGCTGATCTAGTGGAGACAATCTGGAGTCTCAAAGCATTCACTAAATACTTCAAAAATCTTTAATCTATATTTTTGTCAGTTCTTCTCTCTTGAGCATGTTTGCCAGTTTATTAGAAAGAAAAATTTTTGAAATGAGCACACACCATGTACTTATATATATGATTTCCTAGATATTTATGACACAAAACCCTCTGACATTCAATCTACTCTATTTTCATTTTTTTTTTACCAAGACTGAGGAAGAATGACTGGGAAAGAAATAAAAGCTTTTGAACAAACTCAAGTTTGTTTCTGAAAAGTTGTTTATAGACAGTTCCACATTTCAAGTTGCTTCAGTTCTCAGCTTTTGGTAATTAGATAATGAATTCAAACACCAACAGTTCTGCCTACCCCCCACCTCAAAAAGTGCTACTAAATATAATACAGAGAAGAACACCACACTCAATTTCACATGCTACAATCATTTTCAATTAAATGGAAGATTAAGGGTAACCACAGCTAGTATTGCTGGAGGTTAAGAATGGCGGGCAGCTCATCAGTACACAGCACTCAAGACATCAGCTCCACACTTCCTAACAGCTATGGGTGTTATGGAAACCAAACACCACAAATGCTATAAAGTGCAACAGAAGTAACATCCTCTGTGTTTGCTTTTTACTTTAAATGCATATTAGTGAGGGAAAAAGAAAAAAAAAGGCTAGCATTGAATCACAGCTGGGAATGGAAAAACCGAATTCCTTCACTGTAATTGGAAAACAATCTACGCAGATCTATTCCAAAAGCTTTTTCTCTCCACTTAAACAGCTTAAAGAAAGGTCCCTGATATATAGTACAAGTCTTAGAGCTTCTTCCCAAAGAGAAATGTATGCATGTTTGAAAATACAGGGGAGTCTCCTAAAACCTGCCCTTGGAGAGCAGACCATCCAGGGGTGTCTGGTCTGGCATTTGCCCAGCTGCCTCCGACACAATGCACGCCTAAAAATCCAGTGGGAGAAGCAGGGAATAAAAGGGGTGTGTCACCATCTCAAACCTCATTTCACTGGGCAGCAAGGAAAGGAACAGCCTAATGAAATTTTGACAGAAGGAGCAACCACTTCCTTCCACTCAGCTGCTTCCCAGGATGTGCTGCTGTGCACAGCTCACCAATGACTGATCACTACCGGGATCAGATGACAATGGGCAAAGGCTGGGGACCAGCATGGCCCTTCCGTGGGCTCCGAGACACAGCAACAGCTGTAGAAACACCACCAGTGTCCTCGGCCCGACAGAAAATTGCGGCCAAGGATGGGCTCGGTAGCGGGAAAGGCGCAGAACCTTGGAGAATGGAGTCCATGAAGAGGGGAAAAAATAAAGGTAATGAGGACTAATTCCTGATCTCTGAAAGGCAGGTATGAATCAATCAATTTTGCCATCACTGAGCTGCCTGGATGGGATGATGGGAAATGGGGATGACAGAGTAGAATTATTCCAACAGCAATACTGTGAATAACTGTGATCAGTTTCACTTACAGGCTGATCTGGTCCGTCCCCACCAAGCACCCGGAAACCAAAGCCTGACTCTTGTTTTCTCAGGAAAACATCTAAATCTCTTGTGTTTGGAGCTAAGAAAAAGAAAAACAGTATTTCAAAACATGTAAGGAGCTATCCTGGATATTGAGGAGTTCTTGAAGGATTATGCTTTGGTGGTACACTCTGAGTCTTCTAGTGACAAAACACAGCAACCAGAAGTACAGTGATATTCTCTTTCCAAAATAGTAACATTAATTTTCAAAGCAGAAATCTCTACTACATCTGTGCAGCAGACCAGGATAAAAGCCACTCTGTAACACAACTCAGAACTACTTTTATAAGCAGGTCTGCTGCAGTTTACTTCAGAACCACCCTTGACATTATTTCTGCAATTAATTGTTTTACTGAAAATACGGCTGAAACATAACTTAATCCTTTTTGTTTTTCTGATTGCTGTTTGAATGATGCATTACTTGAAACGTTTTATCCACAGCAGGTTAACAAACTTAGCAACAAAGTCTCAGTAGTTTTACTGCACATGCAACAAGAGAAAAAAAATTCCCTCATAACACAGTATTTTCAAGATTAGGATGATGTACTTACGTTTGTCCTCGTAAATTGTCTTAGACTTCAGGTAGACTTCAGACGGGTCCAGTTTAGGAGAGCCTGGTCGCACAGCAGAGGGCGGGAAGGGCATCGGCTGCGGAATGGTATCGCTGACAGCTTCCAAACTCCCGGAACTGTCCTGCCTGTCCTTCTGAAACAGCCCACAGATGCAAAATCCACATTAAATAAAGGCATGACTACACTTGTGTGTGAAAAGACAATGAACATCATGCAGAAGAAATAGACAGGAAGAAAGGAACAAAATTACAGCTTTTCCAGTGGATATGTCTGACCAGAGTATTAAGTCTTCCTCACTTGTACATGAGTTTCTACTGGAGACTAGCATTGGAAAGAGTTTGAAGTGACTGAGTTTTAAGGTCACTCAGAGAGGAGTGAAGATGGGCAGATGCTGGTAGTTACCAACACATAGGATGAAGTGGGTCAAAAGGACTGATCATGTTTGAAGAAGACACCGAATCCTTGTCAGGTGCCTGCCTGGCTGTGGGCCACAATCCAGCACCAAAGGCACACGTACTCCTCACCAGCACTGCCTCCTGTCCTTTGCCAAGCTCCTCCCCACAAGCACCAGGGGTGCTCCTAGCATGAGCTGTTTGCTGGAGCAATATACAACGGGGCAGGAGGACACACCTGGGCAGCATGAGGTATTAACAACTTGCCTTTTTCGTCTTTTCATGATCTGACAGCTGCAACTCTCCTGTTCATGAGGCAAGGACCCACATGTGGTCCCTCATCTAAATCCCCAATCAATTATGCAACAAAATAACTCTAAATATTTCTTCTGCGCTGAAATCCAGCCTGGAAAGCTGGCACGTGGCAGTGCATGCCAAACCACAGCAGGAGCAGAACAGATGTAGATCTGCCCTTTCACCAAGAGCAGAAGAAACTGCCCAGAGCCATTCAGCAGTTTGACACTTCTTGTATGTTTATAAACACAAGAACTTGCCCTTTTTAAGTGAATTATTTTGCCACACTGCTTAATGCCACTGAGCATCAAGCACTCTGTGGGTTGTTGCTGCTGTATGTGTGCTGGAATAGAATGCCAGTACCCAAGTCCAAACTATTTTTAGCACATTGCCATGGGATCCATGCTGACAGGACCAGGGCCCTCCAACTGCAGGGATTTCTGCTCTGATTTATTCAGTGCGGGCAGGTGGATGCTTGCAAGGAACTGAATCTGAAGATCTGATGGAGCACAGTCATCTTTGAGCATGCTGAACATGTGTGCTTGCATCATTCCACTGCTGGGACGCAACTAAGGTTGCACTCAAACAGCAGGATAAAGATAGAAAGAGAAGTTACAGCTATGTTCTGGTAATGGGGTTTTCATAAATTGCCCTGATTTGCTCTGTACAAGAAGCATTTATAAAGAAGTATCTGTGTTCGACCAGTCCAATTTACAACAGAAACCTTCATAATAAACAGAAGCATTAATATCAGCATTATTAAATCAGAGACTGTTCTATTAAGACCAAGGATTCTTTACTGAGCTAATACATATTAAAGATGTCCTGACAGATCAAAATTCCAAGAGCAATGAGTATTGAGCTAGGAATGTACAGCTCCATAGACTTGCTGAAAATATGGATCCAAAGATCAGCATTTCCAAAAGAGAGCACTAACCAGTCCATTAATTCTATGCGAGGACTGAGAAGAATCAAAGGATCATAAAGTTCCTTTAGGAATGAAAAAAACAGATACTGTATTTTGTTTCCCTTTTAATGGGTACTCTAACTTAGATGAAGAATTTTTGCCTACCAAGCAGATGTGGTTTTGCTAAACCATCTTGCAGGTTATCACAGGTACTAAAATCCAGAGTAAATGAGATTACAAAGCAGGTCAGAAACAAGTTAAATACATCACCAATACTCACTCCTTTGGCAGCTTTAGTAGGGGAGGGTGGACCTGAAGAAAACAGAAAGTAACTTTAATAGCAGATTACAAAAAGTTTCAACAACATTTCAGCAATATAATCAGCTGCTCCTGGGGTAAAAATAATAGCAGCTGATACACTGTGCTTTTAAATGGCAAAGTTACCAAAACCACCACTTTAGAGAAGTCTCAATTAGAACAGAAAGCTTTACAACAATGAAAAATATCCATTTCTCCTTCTGCTGGAAGCTGGTCAGCCAAGTCACCCCTCAGTTCATGGGATAAGGAGACTTATGAATTTGTCTGAAGGAATTTCACTTGCCACACAGAAATCTAATTATTTCCTTAGCTGATTAAGGAACAGTAGTATTTATACAGAAAAAGATCCAGAGATTTTTGCAAATAGCAGTGGCCGAAGTCAGGGTTACAATAAAGCCTGAAGGGACACTGAACGGCCATGAGCTGCCCCATAATTCATTCAGATTCAGCTTCCTTTGAAAGACAGACACTGTCTACTACAGTTTCTGGGGAGAAGATGCATTCTGGTCTGTGACTGACAATCAAGGAAGGGGTATGAATATGCAAAGGAAAACAGAATTTTTTCTGCTATTCCCAGTGATCAGCACCACCTCTTCACTAATTCTTCTTCCCATCTCGTGCAATCCCCTGTTCTTTACAAACACAACTACTAGAATATATTTGAAGAACCGCACAAATCTCAGTCCATCATATGCTTTGCATTACACTGGAGACCACATGTTTGCTTTAGCACTCCCCAGAGACTTGGAAGAGACAGTGCATAAACATATCACCATATAATTGTTGAGGGAAAAAGACCCAAAGAAAAACCTAACTAAAACTTCAAACAAAACCCCAGCAACATGCTCTCACCCTAAATAGTGAGGGGTATAAATCAAACTTAGAACATAATAGCTCAGAGATAGAATGAACTGCTGCTTAGCTGTCAAGACTGGACACAATTTAGATATCACACTAAAATAGGACTGTTAAAAACTTATAACCAATATGACAACTGCAATTTTGTCTGTACCTCCTCTTAAGATAAGCAGAGGCACCTCTGCTCCGACTGGAAACTGCTTGAGCACCTCCACCACCTGCAAGTGGGTCAAGCTCTGCACATTCTGATGGCAAATCTCCTTGATGACATCCCCTTTCTGTAGGCCTTGGCACCACTGGCTGTCCAAAATCATCTTCACCTTCTGGCCTGTGGGACTGTCTGCAATGGCAAACCCAAAGCCTTTAGGCCCTTTGATCAGAGGGATGGTGACCAGCTCTGGCTGAGAGCCTCCTGAGGAGGCAAAGGAGACCCTTTGCTCTGCTGAATCCACAGAAGGGCCGTTCAGGCGACCGTTGACCAACACTTTCCCATTCTGGTCCAACATGACTGTTGCTGCTACTAAATCTTGGCTGGACACGGAAGCATCTCCCTTGGCCACCGGCAGACCATTAATGACAGGTGTGGCTGTCACTATATCCACCACGGGGTCTTCATTGTCATCAGGAAGAGGGTACCCACGACACAAAGTCATGTTCACATACTGATTGATGGGAATGAGCTGAAACATCTGGACAACATCTGCATGGGTATGGCCAAGGACACAGCTTCCATTTATGTCCACGATGACGTCACCTGTTACAAAAGAAATTTTGATGGTGTCAAAAACAGAAGCGAAACCTTCCACAAAAGCCTACCTTGCAGAAATCACAGTGCTGTCTTCAAATTAATAACTTAATAACAACTTAATAACTAGTGTCTGGGATATTACCTCATGGCTAATATTGTCAAAAAGCATTTCCTCCTTGCATTTATTCTATTTCATCTCAGGACACAGTGTGCTAAATATATAAAGTTTAATCTGCAGCAGATTTAAAAAATTATACTGTACAGCCACGGGAGATGAAGCAGAGCACGCACACTACAGCAAGCAGATGTCTTCCACTTTAATTCATATTGCAGAGCATCCTAAACCCAATGCAGAATAAATCGGATTTTTTCGGCCTCGTGTTTATTTTAGGTCTGGCTGAACTTAAGCTAGGATTGTGCACACACACATACTCTTACACTGCTGCCACACGTGGCTAAGAATACATTTTCAAAATGAACTTATGTGGGCTTCAGATCCCAAAACCTTGTTTCATGTCTTCATAATTTTGATGTGAAACTCTGCATGTGAGGTACAATATGTCCTGCAAACTGTCCTATCCCTTTAATGCCCAGGCATCAGTAAAACAGGATCTCCCTTATTCCATGAATTACAATCAGAATAGCTGCATGTCTTTTCCATTCCAACAGTTCTGCAGGACTGTTTACATTTTTGCAAAGGTGGAAAATGAACCACATACAAACAAGTTCAAACAATACATCAGCAACAAAACAGGAAATTGTTCCATTTTGTAAGTTAATAGTATTTATCATTCAAAGTATGAGTTCTTTTACTCATTTGCTCAAGAGTAAGTGTTTATGTTATAGGCAAAGAAGCATTTCACCTTTTCTAATATGCAAACCAGAGGTTATGGTAAGGTTACAGGTAACTTAATTACACATGTAATAACCATGAAAAAATGCATAAGTCCTCATGGGTTGCTCATCCCTCTTCTCTCCTCCCTTGTCCAGCTCACACAACTTTGCTTCCTTACTCCTGCTGTGGGCCTTTTGCAGCTTTAATAATCGGTGTCATGGTTTCTGGCAGCAACAAGGCAAAACAGACTAGGATTCAAACACATTATTTTTACTTCGCTTACAGAGAAACCATTCTATGAATAAACATGAAGATAAGTGTCTTTGGTAAAGCAGAAGTACTGAAATCTTCAGAAGGGCCCTTAAAGTCAATTTTTATCTAGAATGCTGCTTCTTTTCCTTTTCAGCCACTGCTCTGCACAGATCTTTCACAAATATGAAAATATTTTATTTAGTGAGGATGTGTATGGAGTCCTCCAACCTCCTGTGCCTCAAGCTGTGTTCTCCAAAGCACCCCAGGAAGTAGAAGTTTACAGAAATAACACTTGACCTGGAGCAATTCTTCCATCTTGCGCAGCGGGTCCATCTTGTAACACGTTCTTCACCTGAAGAAACTCATCAGGCCTGTCCCCTCCAATGATTGTGAAGCCAAATCCCATAGTACTTTTTTTCAGGGATGTCCTTATGAGTGCTCCAGTAAGCTGGGATGGATCTCGAGTGAAGAGAGACCTTCCCGGTCCTTTAGAATTATGGAATACAGAGACAGGAGGGCAGTAAGCCAGGGTTAATTCTGGTTTTCAAGGTGTCACAAAGGTTAATGACTTGTTTATAGTTTATCAGCTTCTGAAGCAGTTCTAAAGGATAAACAGACAGGGAAGTGCTACACTCATTTTCCAGCTGAATTCAGTGCATGGAAAAGAGTTTTTCTGAACAAATTGCAACAGAGCTGTATGCAAACCTCCCACCTCAAATTCCCAATTTTTGTCCTTGACTACCAAGGTTAAAGTAGGTCAAAAGCATAAAAACTCCAGGTGTGGCTTTACCTGCACTTCCAGATGGCTCTTCTAACCCTCCAGATATTCCAAAGCTGTTTATGAGAACCGGCTTCAGAACAATGAAAATTATTTAGAAGCAGTCTTAATGTGTCGGTTCAATTTTAACATGAAAAAATCCTTCAAAAAACCCAAAATATCTTGGAGGGTAACATTGCAATAGCTAGCAAAAAGACAAGGCTGACGCCTTCATGAATTCCAGAATGGGATTTTTATAAAGCATACTTGCAGATAAAAATATATGTGACAAAGAACACAATATTCAGTGATACCTGATTTGGAAGGGCCAGCATCAGTCTGTCCTAGCTGTTTTTTCCTTTTGGCTTCCAATACTGGGTTTTCAAACTGAGTTTTCTGGTTAATATGACTGCAGACATACAAAAGGTAGGTCAGGATTTCAACAGAAAACATCCCGACTCCTTCCCAAAAAAGACAACCCCAAAAAAACACATCTACAAACACTGTTTTTTATTATGTCAGATGAATGCTCTGGAGAAATGAACAAAAAACCTCTCATAAATAATACTGAAAATATGCTCACTATTCCAGCGGTTTACTTAGTTTGAGGCAAATAAAATTTTACCTCCTTTAATTGCCAGGCAGAGTTGTGATAGTTTAGATCTGAGCAAATCTGCTTTTTCTCTTGACCCATTGACCTATACTATTTACAAACTCAGGCATCACCTTTTCCCTAGGAGATGATAGAGAAGTACAGCATAGGAGGGGAAAACCAACGAATTTGAGCATAATTCAAATTTTGCTAAGTGAAAAATGTTTGCTCGTTCTCTGAAGCTACATTTTCAACTCTACCATTTTTCTTCTCCATGGTTAAGGAGAGATTTAATTTCCTCTGGCCTGAAGGAGATTCAAAAGAGTTGTCCTGCAGCAGTTTGGTGGTTATTGACTTGGCTTTTTGAAAACAGCAATGATCTACAAATTATTTTTACTCTTTAAAGTTATCAGGTGCCACTCTTAAGTCAAGTGACTCTGTTTTTGTTAAGCTAGGAAAAATGATATGAGATCATTTCCATCTATAAATTATTTTGGTTGCAAATTGCTTTCTTTCCCCAAATGAAAAACAATCCCTAAGTCTTTAAGGTCACACTGTGGATTTTCCCTCATGCCCATGCTACCAGAAGTTTGTGCCATGAGTTTGCAACCCAAGAACTGTTTTTCCTGGATATATTTAATAGTTTCACAGAATCACAGAATGTCTTGGACTGGAAGGAACCTTAAAGCCCATCCAGCAGTTCCACCCCCTGCCACGAGTATGGATACTAGACCAGATTGCTCCTAGCCCTGTCCAACCCGGCCTTTCACTTCATTACAATCTCTACTTACTGGGGATCAAGGACTTCAGAGTTTCATGCTCAATTTTTTATGTATGCCAATTCAATAATTAGCACTTACTCAACGTAATATGTCCCATATTGAGGGTCTTCTATTTTCTCCCATCCATAAGGAAGTTCTGCAATCAGAAAGACCGAATTTTCCATTACAGGGGAAAACTATCCACAAATATCAGAGTTTTCATTAAAGAACACCTAGGCTCATGAAAAATATGAGGAAAATTCAGGTCTCGTTTTCTTCCCTGATGAAAGGTAAAAGTCTGTTCCAGGGAATCTGAAGCCCTGCAACTCTTACTCCTTCTTGTCGGGGCACCAGGGTAGTTATTGCACTAAATGATGAGCCTTGTATTCAATGAAATCACACAACTTAAAACATATAATAAACTTAAAGACCTGTCTGTACTGAAAATTACATGCAAAAGGCTCCTTTTTATGGCAAATTCAGCATCTGGTAAGAGGGTGCCAGCAGCGCATGACTGACTGAAGGTAATAAGCAGTTACCACAGAGGTCAGCTTATCAAGTTTATTGTTCTAGTTATCTTGACCATAGAAATTTAAATATTAGAATAATGAATATAGTCAGCCAGACATTTTAAGGATAAATTTGCCCTGCAATCTTGTTTGAGGCTGTCCTAAGTTTGACAATAACAGGAATTTCCCTAGCACATGACAGCATGTTACCAATTACTAATATGAGTGTTGCTCCACAGGGTCTGACTAAAGACCCAATGGGTCCATTAATTTAAATATTACTCATTTGGATATCCTGCATCTCTGTTTAAAGAGCTGCATGTACGTTTAATAAGCAGCAGTATGGAGCCATTGCTCCAGCTGGCTTCATTATGGATACATGGCTGTTAGGCTGGGCAGTTTTGGAGGATGACACGCCATTCTGAGCCTGCTTCAGCTTTTGGAACATGTCAGGCATTTGCTGAAGACAGAGCTACCTGATACTCTTTCCTAGCAGACTAAATTGCCCACCTGTGTAGGAAATGGTTGCAGAAATTGCCTGGAGGCTACTCACCTGGAAGTCTTGAAGGAATTTAAATCAATCAGTCAGATTGCTCCCTTAGCCTCTGCATTCAAATACTATGTCATATGCAATAGTTATCATCAGCAATATGTATTTTGCCACACCTTCTTTGTTATTCCTATATTCTGTTACTTATGGACCTTCTTCTGCCATATTCCTCCTATACAACTGTTTCCAGTGAGATCATCACTCACGTGCAGCTTTCTCCTTAAGAATGACACTGGAACAAAACATCTCATATTCTGCTCAGGAATGTAGATACACCTTTTGTTTGGCCAGATTCTACTATTTCAGGGAAAATACATCAGCAAGTGTTAGAGGCACACATCCTCCCCCCAGCCCCCCCAGTCCTATGTAAATTCCTACTGCCACCAAACAGGTGACACTCAGCACTATGCTGCCAGCTCCAGAGTCACATCTACCCAGGAGAAGCTTCTTCCACAGAAGTAATGGAATGTATCCAGTTGGAATAAACTCATACATTTATCAGTGACAGGTGGCAAATGCATTCTGAACATCTCACCTCCATCTTCACAATCTTCAGGAGCTTTGGCCTTCTTACAGAGTCGGGGATCAAGCCATGTCGTTGTCTTGGTGTTGTGACTGTAGAGCAGAACACATGTCAGTAAGAGAACTCCCTCACACTGAAGAAACTTTCCTTCAAGTATTTACTATTGTAGGAAAATGTAGACTTTAGATAATACAACCATTATTTGTGCCTCAATCACATCACAAAATGCTAAAAAGAAAAGGCACCAGCACACTGGGGACTCTCCAGGGCACACAGGAAGTGTTAGAGGCAGAGATCCTCCCCCCAGCCCCCCAAAAGCTCATATGGGAACAGCAGCTGTTTCTACCTGATAGGAAAAAAAAATGTCTAGCCTCCTCATATGCTAAACTCTCTGGAAGGAGAGGTTTCTGTTTCATTTTTTCCTTAGAACTCATAAATGAGGCAGTTTTACATGTGCACACAAAAGCTACTTTCCTACCCTGGGCTTTCATCTGGGCTATTTGTATTTTGAAACATCCATTCCCAGCCAAGGAACACAAGCAGAGAAGAGAAGCTAAACAAGGTCTCAAATTTCAAGGAAATTTGACATAGAGAAGGTTTCCGTGTCACGTGTCACTTAGCAATACTCAGTCAGCTTTGTATTTGTGAGATACAAAACTTAGAAAAAACAAACTGACTTTGCAGGTGGAACCATAAGGTCTTCCTGCACAATGGGAATTGTACCGAGCATTCAATGAGTAAGGAGTGTAACAGTAGGAAAATAGTAAATTTCATAAAGAAACAGAAGCAGCACGAGAAGAAGAGAGGTGAAAGAGCAAGCTTTCCAGACTGCAGCCACCAGCATTTGTCTCCTCCAAGGAGTTGAGTTACTCACTCAATGAAGTAGATCATGCCAGTATCTGTGTAGGCCATTTCCCAGTTCTTGGGTAGTGGTTCCAGGGTCTCATCCCTTGACAAATAATTTCTGAAGTCCATGTTGCTGCTTGTCTGGTTGTAGCTGGGAACAGGTTTCATCCAGTCAGGAGAATCTGAATGTTTTTCTTTGTTTTCTGCAGTTGTTCAGGGAAAGTTTTTGTCAGATGCTTATGTTGTTTCTCACAAAGAACCACCCTCTTAATCTGGCTACGAGTGGATGTCAAACATGTCTCTCTATGTGATGTGCATTTTTTCAGCTGTGAACTTGGAAAAGCTGACATGAAAACACTGAACTCTGCTCTTCCCCTGCCAAACAGAATTAACCTTGTATTATGTGCCTGAGCCTACTCTGAAAAATCAACACTGGCAGAAATCCAAGTTGACTATGTTCTGTTGCCATTTCTACAGAGATAACAGTGTTTGTAATGCCATAAAACAATCAAAAAATCCTACTAATATTCCTCAAAGAATCAGAAGGAAATGTAGAGAAGACCCAAACTGCCAGTAAAATAAACAACACCTTGCTACAAGCCACAACCAGAAAAAAGATCCCAAAAATTCCGGCAGGAAACTTTAAATAGAAGTCTCTATCCTTCAGAACTGAGGTTATGCTTGATACCCTCTGTGACATGACAATGTCCACGACCTTCACCCAACCACCAGCCTGACCATTGGCCCCTCTGTGGTGTTGCCAGCCCTGAAGATGACAAGACTAGGTCAGGTCTGGTCAGTGTAACACAGTCCTAAACAGTCACACAGAGGATCAACTGCAAATGCAATGTGACAGTTCCTCTCCACCATCAATTCACCCCCCTCCAGATGAGTAATCATGGCAGCAAAAGGAAAAGGGCATCTTGCCAATCCCAGAAAGGTCCTGCTGGACACCACTCCAGTCTCAACATGCTTGGCTTTGTTTCTCACTACAAGCTCCCCCTTGGGTGATTTCAGGTTGTATGACAGTTCCCCTAGGCAAAATCTGAAAATTTTACAGTATGAGCCAATGTTGCCCCTTCAACCAATCACTGCCTTAAAATCTCCTGTGTACAAATTCAGTGATTGCCTCAAAATTCAACAGTAACATTTTCAGGGTATGAATTCTACGCTGTGAAGGACTCTGTTATTTCAAGAGTGGACAAATTTTTCCTTCCTGCTCGTGTAACTGGCTCTGGTCCATATCCAGCACCACATGTTCTTGACCAGCAGTGCATTTTATGATGCAACTGCACATCTGGCTGGGAGAACAGCTGGTTCTTTTTAAAAGGTCATCTCAAAATCAAATAGAAGCACCAGTCTGAACAGAAACTGCCTTCATACTTCACCTAAACTAAGGAAGCACAAATGTTTTTTGTATAGTCCTTATCCATTCATACAATACTCCAGGGAATTTCTCCCCTTGTCAACCAACCTATCCCTCCACTGCCATTAACTGCTTCCTTTTCTTCCTCTTCCTCCTCCTCAGGGAGAGAACTTTCCATCCTTTGCATTTTGCTGACGGATGTGGTTCTTTTCCTCTGCGATTCAGTATCAAAATCATTGTCAAAAAGAACTTGATCCACTGGATCAGGCTGAAAGGGGCTGGGCTCTGCTGGAGGCTTTGGAGTACCATAAAAATTACCTGAAAATGAGACAGAAATCAGGAGCACTGAAGCACAGATACTGCTGAAGGCACTAGCAGTGGCTGTTACCAGTTTAGTGCCCACGCAAATGTATTTTGGTGACATTTTAAAGCCTCAAAGAAGACATCAGCACTACCAAAACCCAATCAACAGTCAAAGCCTATTTTTTCATACACTGACTTCTTGCTAATGCAGCACTAATTGTCAGAAAACAAGAGGTTATCTGAAAACTTTTATCCTGCTACAAATTTTCTAAAGAAATAGATGGATTCGGAGCAACAGAAATATTGAAGTCAAAAAGCAAATTACTTTTACGCAGACACAAGGCATTTGTTTCCATAAAACCAGTTAACAAGTAATTGATTTTTAACACTTGCCATTTTCTACTGACAATACACTTGCAAAACAAAGATGTTGATATGGCTTCATATCAACATTTTCATATCAATAGGCTGATATTTTTACTTCAGAAAAAAGAACAGATTTTTCCTTCAATATTTTAATCTGAAGTACAAAGGAATCATCTGCTGTTTCCTGGAAAAGAATTTCAGCAATTGACCTCTCTCCTGACTGCTCATATGATTTTTATTATGGAATTGAGCACAAAGCAAGGAAGCTTCCCAGAATTCCTGCTGGAGTAACTTTTAGTGCCTGGATATGGTTTTGACCATGGAAATACATATAGAAAGAAAACCCTTCTGCAAACATCAAGCAATGGCAAGGCTCAGAGAGGGGACAGTCAGATAAAGTGTGGCTCAGGGATGAAGAAAAAAACCTACTACTTTAGCCTAAATTTGCTTACTAGATTTCCACAGACTGGACAATATTAACAGATAGTGTGGGATAAGGAAAACAAGAGGCACAGAGCCTTTCAGGAGATTGATCACCATCTCCATTACAATGTTTTTCCTCAACACATTTAACAAACCCAACTTTCCTACAATCTGGTCTAGTGCTGTTCAACTTTTCATTGAAAAATGCTTTAGTTTCTCTGCTGGGTCGGAATTTCTCTTTGATGCACACCTGAGAGGAGAGAACGTGGCTCCGTTCTCTGAGGTGTACAAAAAATTGACTAAATTCTCTTAAATTTGTACCAGGCACAAACAAACCCTTTCAGAATGCTTCCCAAAAATGCAACAGTGAAAATAATCTGGCGGGATTAAGAGCAGTTGAAAGACAATCTGCAGATTATTAGAAAGCTGTAAACCAAGATTGCTCCTCCTCTTCACAGTAACCCAAAAACAGACTAACTATTGTCTCTCTACTACTGTCAGGACCATCAAGTGAGCAGGAAAGCTGGTACCACAAGGAGCTACACCTGGACACAAGTATTGGGTCCTTATTCCCATTCCATTAAACATCACTGACATACCATCATATGTTCCACTTTCTAGTAAGGCTCCACTTTCTTCCAACGCTTTAAACTGCTCAACAGGAATGAAATTATAGTCTACCCCAGGGACCTCCCCATCTCTGGGAGCCCTTGTAGTGCCTGCAAAGACAGAGAAAACACTCTTGTAAGACACATAAATGCTGCTTGTTACCAAATGCTGCCTGCTGTACAGGTCAGTAAAAACAATGTATTTTCAAATCTTTATACAAATATTATGTCACTTTAGTAAGAGTTAAAACAACTCTTGGTAAACAAGTGAACAATAACTGTGAGACAGTAAACTATATAGGAACGACACTTCTGGTATTGGGGGAGGAGGAGAGAAGTAGCTCAGTGAGGTGGCAATTAATAGAGAATTCTTTCTCATGGTCAGTGAAGCAAAACCAACTTTTGTGGCAGCTGACGACACGCAATCCCAGTCTGGGTTATTTTATTTTAACCCAGCTGTAAGGGTGCTGCATCTTTCCCTATTTCCACCAGCACCAACTCTCTAATTTGCAATGAGGTCATCATGACTAAGTACATTTGATTTTTGGGCCACAAAATCCATAACTCAGCACAGAATTTATTTTTTAACCTACGATTCAGGGTATAATTCAGCCACACTCCAACCACTGGCTGAAGGTAAACTTTATCAGTAAACTGCTGTGTTAATGCAGAGGTTCTCAAAGTGTTTTGTCTATAAAAACAAGCCTCCCATAGTTATAACAGCTTAATTAAAGCTCTCCTGAAAGAACTTCACTGATTCATTACAATTCATTACTGCCTACAACCTAATAGCATTTTAAAAGCATGTATCATTTTTTTCAGGCAGCAGCATGAACAAGGGCTAGTAAATAAAAGCTAGTAATAATGAAATGCAGTTTAAGAAAGTCACTAACTCTCAGGTGTGCTCACAGAGAAGAGAGTAGAATTCCTGTAGATACAAAAACTTTACTTGACAAAGCTTTTAGTGTAATGAATATTTAAACAGTCAATGATGAGCCTTTTTAATCAGTCTTCTTAGGATGAGCAAACAATCTGCCTGTACGTTCTGCCACTGTCACCCCTTCTGCATCCAATCCCTCCTCCCACCCTCCTTCCAGCTGCCCTGCTCTGCCAAATGCACTTGACACTCAAGGCCTCAGTTTGCTCTTTGTGAAGAAAAAAACCATAACACATTGACAAAATTCAGGATGTTTTGGCACTGCTTGATCATGCTGCGAAAGATTTATTTCTTGTAGTGGCTGGGCCATTCTAACAACTACTGACAAATTTGTGAAGAGCCACACACAGATAGTACTGAAACAATCTGAACTTTGAATTCTCAAGTTTTTGCTGGTTTTCAGTCCATACTGGCCGCACCAATTCACGGCAACTTCAGATGTGAAGCTACTGTAGCAAAGCCAGAAGTCTCCACTACAAGGTAAAATCTAAAACAGATTAAGAGAGAAGGTATTTCAAACTCATAAATTATGTGGGAGTTAGCAGGAACAGATGAAATGAGGCTGATCTTTACATACTTACAAGGGATGGTTCTCAAATAGAGATTGTCTCTGATGACTTGCTGAAGTTTGTGGTCTATCGAGCCCTTCTGGAACTGAAGGCTTAGGTAGTGGCGCAAGTCCTTGTTGATGACTTTTCCTTAGAAAGAAAAAAGAATAAATTAGAATAATCTGTAAAGCAGGATCTCACAATAAGAACTGTGTTTTAGTGCTATAGTAGTTTCAGAAAAAGCACGCAGCTAGAAGAGTTGCTTTGTTTTAAATACAACAACCTTGATGGAAAATATCATTTTGTGCTATCAAATCACAGAATCCCACAATAGTTTGTGTCAAAAAGGAACCTTAAAGCTCATCTTGTTTCACCCCTTGCCATGGGCAGGGACACCTTCCACTATCCCAGATTGCTCCAAGCCCCATCCAACCTGGCCTTGAATGCTGCCAGAGATGGGGCAGCCACAGCTTGTCCGGGCACCCTGTGCCAGGACCTCACCACCGTCACAGGGAAGAATTTCTTCTGGCACTGTGGTTTTAAGCAGAGCTGACTAACAACCAGTCCCCCTCATCTCCCGAACAAGGCAGTGACAATAGTCTGGAATTGTTTGAAAATCAATATAAAGTATTAAAATACAAAACCTATTACCAAAATTCAAAGTCTCTACAGACAAGAAACTATTTAACTGCATTTTGAAGTAGTTTCCATTCAATTTACACCTACTCACCAGTCACCTGAGTTCAATATTTTGTCACATGGGAACTTGCATTCTTCAAATTATAAAAAGAAAATATTTCCTTCTTAAAAACATTGCATAATAGAAGGGAGTTGGGTTTTTTTACAGTTAGTCCTTTACAATACTTCTGTCAGGTATCATTAGTGAATCTGTCACATCACTGGAGAACCATGGCCCCTTCAGCACACAAATAACTGAGCTCTTGTATTACTGCCTCATCCTTCAGACAGGAGGGTACAAACCAATCTTTTGTACCCTGTCAGCCTCCCAGAAAACACAGTAAATAGGGTTCAGTGACCTTGGTAAATTTAAGTTACGCACTACAGCAGAACGCTCAGGGCTTCAGGGAAAAAGCTCAACCTTTGTCTCCAAACCTAGAGAAGGAGATGGGCAGCAGCAGATGGATGCTGGTGTAGCACAACAGCAGGGAAAAAGGCTGGAACAGACAACTGCTCCTGTAAAATTACATCACCAACAGGTTATGAAACGCCTAAACCTGCCCCAGAAGCATTTCTGACGGGAGCCTTTGAAGCCTATGAGCTCAAGGTTGTCGAGGAGACCACCTCAAACAGATCACAGACCCCACAGCAGTCCTCATACAAGGCCCATTCACCTACGTCTTCAACCAATTACCGTACCTACATACATGTAAAATTTGGAAAAAATCCAAACCATCAAAATCCTCCCACCACTAACCAAGTTTTCCCAACCATGTGTCACTTCTGCAAAGCTGGTTGCGTGTTTTGGTTGTGGCAAGTTTATACTTTCCCTTCCCTTTTAGCCAAAGTGAAGGCATTCCACATCTTGTTCTCAACTCTCAAACATACCCTCAGCAACCACCACTCACCAACATCAAGCTGAATTTCAACCTGCACCCTCTTCCCTACAAACAAAATCATGTCACGATGAGTATTTCAAAATAGAACTAAGATCATCTATCAGCCCTTCAGAGAGGTCAGTGATGTCCACAGATTACAAAATCACCTTAAACCCTCATGCAAGGAGAGAATAAGCCCAGCGCACCCTCTGAACAAGCAGCACATCCTGTGCTGAACACAAGTCCTGAGCTCCAAATGAAATCAACTTCTCATCCCCTTGAACACCATCATTTATTTAAAAATTACTTCCAAACACATAAAAGGCATTTTGCAGTATTAGGACAACACCTCAGCATTGTCCTTGTGGCTGTCCAGCAATTACACAAGGAACAGCAATTCCCACTAATGCAGTTCTCCAACCAACCCCTTCCCAGGAACGCACTACAACTCCACAGTCCCCACCTCAATTCCCTATTTCACCAGCATGAACTGTTCCTCATAAAATTTTGGATTTGCTTCCTGCAGCATAAGGAGCACAACACATCGTGGAATATGGAAACAAATGGGGTAATCTCCAGCAAGAAAAGTATTTTCCTGTTGTTACTACAAATTACTTTATTCTTTGCAGATAAGATAGTTCCTCAACATTAAAAAAAATGTTTTGCTGCTAAAATGGTCCATCCATCTCCTTGTCAAAGCCAGATATGCACTTCAGCAATCCCAGCATATTTCTCTTAGGCAGATCAATACACTTATATTTCACTGAGGCAGATGGATCTGTTCATCGGCTACTTTCAGAGTACTGCACATTGGAAAAACCAGTCAATATGTGAGAATCTGTTCTGGATGTAGAACTACAGACTTTATTTACTCACTGATCTTTCCCTCTTTATGTCTAAAATTTTAAAAGCTTATAAACCCTTTTCAATAAATATCAAATCAGTTTAAAGACAAAGTAAAGGCAAGGCTGCTACTAAGGATACACCAATGTTGAGGGATTAATCTTTATATTAAAAGTTTAGAGACTACACTATATTGTGAGACCAAGATGACTGAATTGAAGACTGACAGGATTGCCTGGCAAAAACAGAAAAAAGTCAAACAAAATAGCGGGCAGAGGAAAAGTTACAGAAATTCACAGAGAGAATGGTGTGCATTAGAAAGCAGAAAAATAAAGCAATTGTAAGGATGCTTTAGGCAACCTCTGGCAAAAGTCAGATTATTTTCCCACCAGGAGCTGAGCATGCTTCTTTTACATTTTTTCACACAGGCTTTTAGGAAAACCTCATGTATCAGCCTCTCCAAAATGACCTGATAAATGTTGGGTTGGTGTTTGCTGTGCTGCTGAGCTGCTTCTAAAGGATGACGCCAGCAACACAGGGACCAGTCAAGAGGAATAATATACTTTATACCACTCAGGTTCTGCCAGATGAACAGGCACAGGCCTCTTGTTTTCAGTTTTAATTTAAATTAACCAAAAAGGACTGATCAGATGAGGATATGCCCACTGGAGTTGGGGGAGGAGAATTAAGTGACTGCAGAAAAAAAAAAAAAAGGCCCAAGTTCCAGTGCAGCAAAACACAGCATTGTGAATTAGGGAGACAAATTAAGGGGACAAAAGGGGGCTGGGGCTAGGGTTGGTTTCTGGGTCCCAGTGCATGTAGCCAGGGCACACCCAGCCTCTCATCCACCAAAACACAGCCCCCACAGTTCAAGGACCGGGCAGGAGGGAGCTCTCCTGGCCCAGCCCGCAGTGATCTGCTGCCACCTCCTGCTGATCCCCTTAATTCCACCCCCCAAGTCTCCTCACTCCCCTCCCCAGGGGAGTTTGAACAGCACAGAGTGAAAATTGGAGATATTACATACTGAGATGCAATTTTGTTTTCTCACTCAGAACATAGCAGAGAAGAAATGTAACCAGAGTATCATCTGGTACATTTGGAATTCCACACTGTGAACAGAATCCCAGAGTATCCAAGGGCTCCGCTCAGCTGTATGATGTGTTACATAAACTGTGGCTGCCATAGGCCATTGACTATGAAAATTCCAGTGAAACATACGTTGAGAGCTATAAAGCAGCTCCATGATTTCACTCACAGTCTAACTAAAATAGGAATTCTCAGGGCTCATCAAGTGGAAAACAGCTACTGTTTAATTAAACTGGGCTGTCAATACACCCACTAAGATTAAGTGATTTTTGATGTGATCAAAAACCATTTAAAGAAACGTTCAGCTCCACAAATCAGGGATGCAGTGCTAGGAAACACAAGCTAGAATCACTGTGTAACACATTAGCTTTATAATATTCCCCAACAACTACTAACATACGATGATTTCACATAAGTTCCAGATCCGAACACGTTCATTCACTGAGGACAATGAATGACTTCCAAGCATGCAAGAGAATCACTGCATTTATGAAATGCAGAGAGGTTGGAAAGATCCAGTGGTGACGCAGCCATAAGTACCTGCCATCCTTCACCTGAAAGTATTTCACTGTGACCTGGCAAATACACACCTATGTTCTCAACACAAGGAGAAGGTGCAAGGTTCAAATTATTACAACTAATACAGAAAAGAGACTAGATCATTTTGAGAATGTCCAACCCAGTCAGCAGGTGCTTCCCCATTTTGTGGGTTAGAAGCATAGATGGACTCCTGGGCAGAAGCCTGCTTTTTCCTCAGGGAAGGGGGCCCACAGTCCTGGGATTTTTGAGGAGAAAGGCTGAGACTAGCAGCAATGCCGGGCAGCTTGTGTCCCAGGCCACCAAGGGCTCCATGGCATGTTCACACTCAACACCTCCCTGTCTCCCTTCCAGGTAATGAAGGTAGGAACCCGAGTTGGGACTCAGCCAGTGGAAGAGACAAGTTCCCTCCCAAAAGAACATCCAGGCCACTTTGGGAGGTGAGGTGACAACCATGCCTGAACCAGTGACCTATGTGGGAAAAGAGATCTTGGCCCCATTATGGACTCAGAATAACTTCTGCTCATTCCCTGAAAAACTGCAGCTTCTTCAAAATGTAGGCAAGTTCCTTGTCAGGTGAAGCATTACATTTCAAGGCTCTTCACAGCCACAATAATCCATTAAAACAAACTCATTTACTACCCAAAAGCTGAGAAATATAAGACAGGATTATACCAAAAGGCTTGTTTAGTCATAGTTTGCTATATACCATCCAATAAATTCCTGGTAATATTGCCTAACTTACAGAAATTATGGTAGAGATAAGCATTACAGTATTAATAAATCATTTACCAGACTGCTCAAAATACTGACAGGGCGTTTACAGTACTAGTGAAAGAAATGAAAACCTGTTTATCCAGATTAAGGAAATAAAGTAACCACAAACTCCATTACAGAATGTACATCCCAGTTGACTTTGGGGATTTTCTTACTTTTGCCAGCAAGAAAATCGACTCCACAACCACAAATAACTATGAATTTTGACTTTTTAAGCCTCCAGATTTAGATTACTCATTACTAAAAACTAAGAGGTGTTCAACACC